TTCCAACTCGATGGCACCTGACAACAACAATCTTTCTACGACCTCCCTTAAAGACGGCAGTGTATACAACCAGATGGGGCAGTTCTGTTGTGATCCGGATAGACTGGAGGTCACCCGGCAACCCCAGCATCTGTGGAGGTGATCCCACTGGGGTCTAGAGTGGTGCAGGGTACGACTCCTTTTTGAGATCCAAAAGGAGCAGATAATGCACAGAAGCGAGGAGAGAGAGGCCACGTGGAGATCGCCAAGTAACACAAGGGCCTTCCAGAGCTGAGGAAAGAGAGAGCCTTCCCCCAGTCGACGCCCTGCATCGGGCCTTGAAGTTCCAGAACTGAGAGAGTACATTCCTGCCGTGGAAGCACCCCACGATTGGTCTTTCTGCTGCAGCTGATGCGCCCTTTTGGGGAAAGTTTTCTGCTCTCCATCCACATCTCAGAGGATTGAGCAGCATGTTGGGGGACAGCAGTGATGTGGAGTCTTGGCTGCACTAAAGACAGCACACGAGGGCTCGAGGGGCCTGGAGGACGGACGCTTCTGCCTAGGGCACTTGGCATGACCTGGATGTTGGCAGTCCTTCTCGGGTTCCTGCCCAAACCGATTCTGGAACATTCCACTTAATGTTGCAAAGTCGGGGTACAACCCTCCCTGCTCCCAACATATTCTTTCCCACTGAACGGGATCTGCCTCCCCCACCCCCTCTCACCACACCCTGTCCCTTCTAAACGGGGCCAATGCCCCTCTACCCTCACTGAGAGTCCTCTCAGAGCCTCCCCTGGTGTGTGTCTCTCACACTCAGAAGCGTTCAGGCTTAGGACCCGGTACTCCAGTGTTCCCTCATGAACACAACCCAGGTAGATCTCTGTTTACAAACAAGGTCCCACCCACTGCCTTGGGGTGAGGCGTGTCAGTCTGTCTACATCTGTGCTCCCTCCAGCCCCTCCCACCTCCTGCTCTGCACAAGCGAGCTGCCCACAGGCCCCCTCCCCTGGATCCCCAGATAATCCCAACAGCAGAGGCTGCTTGTAGATCGCAAACCCCCCAAGCTGTCCCCAGAGCTCGTGGACACCCAGGTGGAGTCCAGACCCTGCCTCACACTCCTTGTTTCCTCTCCTGGCTGTCTAATGTCCTCCCACCTTCTGCTGCTTCTTCATGCCCTTCCATTAAGTTCACTCCTGCAGGGAGGCCTTGAGGTCCTGCTGATGACGCCCAAGAGCCCTCAGTCCCAGCAGGCCTCCAAGGAGCCTCCCTGGGCAGCCCCAGCATTGTCCTTGATTCTCCTCAGAGTCCTGCTCTCAGAAACACATAAGAGTGGCCTCAGTGGACTCTACACCAGGGCCCAGTAAAGAGCCGAGCTCAGTAAATATGGATGAGGCGTGAACGAATGAATGTGTGCAGAACAGGGCTCAGTAAATACAAACGCCTGACTGTGTCCGTGTCGATCAAGGCTCAGGAAGTATGGGTGCATGAGTGGGTAAATTAATGAGTGTGTGTGTTGTTGTTAAGTGTCGACAAGTCAGTTCCAACTCATAATGACACTGCATAGAGTTTCAAGGAGCAGCTGGTAAATTTGAACCGCCGACCTTGTGGTTCAAACAAACCTTACGGTCCAGTGCATTATCCCACAGCACCACACCAGGACTCCGAATATGTGTGACTGTGGATGGGGACGTGGGTGAATTAATTAATTAACCTGCAGTGCAGTGCTCAGTAAATATGGATGGGGCGTGAGTGGATGAATGAATGAAATTTCAGAGTGTTGTTAAGTGCCGTTGAGTTGGTTCCAACTCATAGCAACCTTGTATAGGGTTTTCAATGAGTGGTTGATGAGTTTGAATCGCCTACCACGCGGTCCAGGGCTTTATTCCACAGCGCCACGCCAGGACTCCAAATA